TTAGAAAACATTTTCTGGAAGACAGTACTCCAAAAGAATCCAATTAAAAGCATTTTTAAATGGTATTTTTGGGGTAAACTTTAACTGAAAATTTGTGACATAAAGACTATCCTTAACGCTTAGATGTTTTTATTCCTAATTTTAGCTGCTACTTCCAAAGCATTAATTTAATAATATTAATTGCAAGTGGATTCCATAATAACAATATTTAGTACTTACGTGTTGAGCACTGTTAAGTGCTTTACATATATTAACATTTTTTTTGAGATTATAAAAGAAACTATAAAATACTGCCCCTACTAAGACACCAAAAGCACAAGAAACAAAAGAAAAATAGGTTAAGTTGGACTTCATCCAAATTAAAAACTTTTGGGCTTGGCCAGTTTGCTTAGTTGGTTAGAGAATGGTGTTGATAACACCAAGGATAAGTGTCCATTGACAGACAACTGGATAAAGAAAACATGGTACATATACACAATGGAATATTACTCTACCATAAAAAAGAATGAAATTCTGCCATTTGCAGCAACATGGATGAACGTAGAGAAAATTATGTTAAGTGAAATAAGCCAGGAACAGAAAGAGAAATACTGCGTAAGTGGGAGCTAAAAAAAAATAAGCTAATAAAAAAAGGAAGGAAGAAAGAGACAACAATCACTACAATTTGCTAAACTTTCAAAAGGAGAGAACAGAACTGAGGCTACCAGGTGGAACAGGGGGAGGGGATGGTTAGTCAGAAATTGGTAAAGGGCTATAAAAAATGATTACATTGTATAATGTTGAATATACTAAGGATCCTGATTTGAACATTACATATTGCATACAGGTATTGGTATTCAATGCTGGAGCCCACAGATACATACAATTATATTTTAGAAAAGAAAGGTTGAGAGTTCAGATCCCTGTACCAGCCAGCAGCCAAAAAAAATTAAAAACTTTTGAGCTTTTAAGAAAGTGAAAAGACAATCCATAAAATGGGGGAAGTATTTAAAAGTCATATATCTGATAAGGAGCTTATATCAAGAATATATAAAGAACTCCTACAAACTCAATAATGAGACAAAAAACTGAATTTAAAAATGGGCAAAGGATATGAATAGACATTTCTCAAAAAGAGATATCAAAATGGCCACATGAAAAGATTCTCAACATCATTGCCATCAGAGAAACACAAATCAAAACCACAATAGACATTACTTCACACTCACCAGAATGACTACAATAAAAAAGACAAATAATAAGTATTGGTGAGAATGTAGAGAAATCAAAACCTTATTCTCTGATGGTGGGAATATAAAGTGGTACAGCCAACTTTGGAAAATAGCCTAGCCTCAGTGGTTAAAGACAGACTCGCCGTATGACCAGGTATATATTCAAGAAAAATAAAAACATATATCCACACAAAAAATTGTACATAAATGATCATAGCAGCATTATTCATGGATGAACCTTGAAAACATTATGCTAATGAGAGAAGCCAGACATAAAAAAAGTCACATGTTGAATGACTCAATTTGTATTAAATGTCCAGAGTAGGCAAATTTAGTGGCAGACTACAGCTGAGGGGACCGGAGTGAAACAGGGAGTGACATTAATGGGTAAAGGGGTTTCTTTTGGTAGTAATGAAAATGCTCTAAAATTGATTGTGCTGATGGTTACACAAGTCTGTGCATATACTAAAAACCACTGAACTGTACACTTTAAGTGAATTGTATGGTATGTATCTCCATAAAGCTGTTACAAAAAAAAATAAAAAGATCCCTCTTCACATGAGAAACTTCCTGGTGACTTCAGGGGTTGGGAAACTTGTTCTGTAAAGAACCAGATAGTACATGCAGTCATGAGCCACATAACAACATTTTAGTCAACGATGGACTGCATATATGATAGTGGCAATACCATATAGCCTAGGCATGTAGTGGCTATACCATCTCGGTGTGTGTAAGTACACTCTATAGTGTTTGCACAATGAGGAAATCACCTTGGACTGCATATATGATAGTGGCAATACCATATAGCCTAGGCATGTAGTGGCTATACCATCTAGGTGTGTGTAAGTACACTCTATAGTGTTTGCACAATGAGGAAATCACCTACTGATGCATTTCTCAGAACATATGCTATCCCTGTTGTTAAGCAATGCATGACTCTATTTTAGGCTTTGTGGGCCATATATATCTGTTGCAACTACTCAACTCTGCCACTGCAGCACTAAAGAAGCTACAGACAATATGTAAACAAATGAGCAAGGTATTCCAATAACACTTTATTTGTTGACAATAAAATGTTCTTCTTTTAATATTTTTTCAATGATGTAAAAATGTAAAGGGACTGGCTGGTTAGCTCAGTCGGTTAGAACATGATGTTGTAACACTAAGGTCAAGGGTTCAGATCCCCATGTTGGCCAGCTGCCAAAAAAAATAATAATTTTTAAAAATGTTCAAAAAAGAAACAAAAATTTAAAAACTATTCTTAGCTTTCAGGCTATACATAAAGTGTCTGGATTTGACCTCTGTGACATTATTTGCCAACCCTTAATCTAGTTGTACATTCTAAATAGTAATAACTTCACAGGAAAA